CCTGCCGCTGGAGCAGCCGCAGCAGCAGCCCCGCTCCCCGGGCTCCTGCTGCACAAGGCTCCTGCGCCAGAGGCACCCGGGGGAGCCCGGAGCCTTGTGTCCCCCCGCCTTGTCCTTCCTCATCAAGAAAAAGAAGGGGAGGATGGAAAACTTGGCGTGACCCCTCTTTGGGCTCATAGAGCATGACCCCGAGGGTTTAGTCTATGGGCCCGCACTATGGAAACAGATCTTCAGCTTCTGCCCTTGGGCATGAAGAAGGCGGCAGCGGGATGCTCTGATGCTCTGCAGCATTCGCTCACTCGGGGGCCATCAGCCACAGAAACGGCTCTGCAGCTTCCCACGGTCACCTTCCACAGGATCCCAGGGGAATTCGGGTTGGGAGGCAGCTCACCAGGGCGTTTAGTGCAATCTCCTGCTCAAAGCAGGGTCAGGCGAGATACTACTGGTTCCCTATGTCTGATCATTATTTCATTAACTTGGTGTCAGATGAACTGGATTAAAACAAAAAAATCCTACATGCTATGTTAGGAAAATGTACAACCTGAGAGCAGATCATGTGTACGTTTCATACTGATTTCATTTTGTGTTAAAGATTACCATATGTGGGAGTTAATGGGCATAAATGAGAAAAATAATTAACCCTATGAGCTGGAGGAAGCAAAATATAGCTAATGAATAATAATTTGTTTCGGCGTGGATCACAGTAGAATGTTTGGCAAAACTTAAGCTGTAAATAACTATTATTTACTTCAAACCTTTTGGCATCTTCAGTGAATGATTTGTAGTTATTAAAAGATTCCCAGATACCCAGAGGAAAAATAGGTTAAAAGCATGACCACGAAATCATAAAATGTTTAATCTCATTTGCTAGTTGAAGGCTAATACAACACAGCGAGGGAAGGTGGAACTTTTAGCTGATTTTCCTATAGTGAGATGATGAGCTGAATCTTGTTCCTAGTAAACACAATCCATCCTCATCAGTTATTAATTAACAGCCCAAAGGCTGTAGCTGAGATTGCATTCTCTTTGCATATTGGATAGGTCAGAAGCAAACTCCAGGCTTAGGGAAAGGCTTCTCGGACTATACCCCTCAGAGGTATATGCATAAACACAGGGATCACCTTGAGCCTCTAAGGCTGGTGGACTGATTGTCTTCCACAAATACATTATAGCAAGGATAAGTGGCAAAAGGCAAGTATTTAAGAACAGTCTTGCCGAGTTCCCAGGAGCTAATGGCTCCAGCCATCACACTGCCTGGAGATCCGCTTGTTTTTTGTCCTGGTGGTGTCCAACCCCACCACGTCCAACCAGCTTCCTCTCTGACGGGATGGGCCAGCAGACACAACTCCATCACGATGCAGGTAAAAAGTAATCGTGTGGGAGGAGATATGAATTTGGTGTGATTTTGCAGTGGTTCCGACTACCCTGTGTCAGATACAGCAATGCTTATAACAAGAGCAGGAACTTCACATGAGATTTGGAGGCTCAGCTTCAAGTTCCAGCTGGATTCAGAGGAGGCTGTGACATCTCGGTATGTGTCCAGCAGGGAGTCATGTCGGAGCAGGATGCGGTTTGAGGTGCTAGCTCTGCAGGCCATAGGATCTGGACGATGGAAAATAAGCTCTGTGTAAAATGTGTTTAATGATCCTTCTCGGTGGGAGGTTCCCGTAGGCTTCTGTGAGGTGCAGTTGCCAGCCATGGCCGATCATCAGAAGTGATCTTCGTTAAGTAACCAGAACAGACCTCAGTAACGAACTGGGTGAATAATCTGGCCAGTTGCACACTTCTCTTCAGTGAGGCAAGACGAAACAGAGAGCTTTCAACAGTTCACGAGGAAAGCACAAAAACATGGCAGGTGTTCAAGACCCAGAAGACTGCAGGGCAGATGCTGGAACAGAGGTGGCTGTCCCAAGCTCCAGAAGCTGGATCTCCCTGGCAGGGTCTCTATCCGGACCGTGGGTCTCTCCTGCAGCATGCCCAGCCTGCTATAGCTGGGCCCATAGAGTTTTGTTGCATTTGGATTTCATACACACTCTAACAGTCAGCCAACTTTGCCATATTAAAGAGACATATTGCAAAAAGACTGTAAGTAACTACATAAGGACCAACCTGGGTGTATGGTTTTACACTCTGCTGTGTCTGTTTCGGATCTTTTTTCAGACATGGATTAGTGGAACATTTTATTTCCTAACTGAAAGAGAGAAATAGACCACGAACTGCTGGGAAATGAATATTATTTTAAACGTGGAGAAGCAGATTCAGAGACTATCCTGGTTTTATGCTCTCTCTCCGTTTAATTCATCTGCCATTCCAAACAAGACGTGCCTCTGTTGAATGAAGTCTCAAATAACCACATAATAGGAGAAGTCATTTATTGTGAATCAGGCTCATTCTCTGGTGATATAAATAGGCTGTGCTGTTCCACAGTCTTTTGTCAGTAGGGATTAATTAGCAATTGACCCTTGGCTGGGATTTTTTCACTACCTCTACATTTTTCATCTTATAGGGCTAAATGAGATCTTAACATTGCTCTAAGAAGCTATGCTTCCTAAGCAGCAGTTTAATTTATCCTTAGGCTATAAATCAGTAGTTCAATTTATCACTAGGTTACATATCAACAGTGAATAGTCAGGGTGGAATTGAGTTTATTATAAAGATGTTCTGTTAGAAGACACAGTATTACAGTGACTGAAACATGCTGTTAAATTTTCCATTAATGCCCAATTCTGAGTATGAATATGGAGAACCACACTTCACATACTTTACATTTAGCTTTCTAATAAATAAGTTCAATAAATAGGAATTTTGCAGATGAAGAAGCTGTACGTGTGAACAGAAGCTGCTTTACAATGTTGTCAAAAAATAACTAGCGCTATTCTTGTTTCTTACCAATCACTGGAAATTAGTAAGTAAAATATAAATATTTTACTCTTACTATGAAGACTGGAGGAACGAAGATCTGTTAAAATCACCCTTAGGATTACACAGAACTTAATTTTGTACACTAAATTTTTAATTTAGAGCATGCTTTCACACCATTTTTAGCACACAATATTTTCAAATACATTTCTTAAAAATATGAGAAATTAATAAGACTGCCCATGTAAGATTTTGTCTGTGCTCTGATCACTACTAGCTCTTGTGTTACACAATATTGCAGTTTGGCTTATTTTGGATGACCTATTCCGCATTTGGAGATTATATATAACAAAGGGCCGGATTTAGTCTGTAGTATATTGCAACATCTTGTTAATACAGTAATTTATTTGTCACAGTACAAAAAAATTAATTCCCCCCCATTTTTATATATATATATATATATAATATATAAGCCATTTATATTATCTATTTTAATAATTCTTTTCTTGGGAAACAACTCTTACGTTATCCCTAAAGATTGCCAGGAACAGAAACATTCTCGTACCAAATGAAAACACAAGTAACTCGAGCAACTGTAGTTTTACTTGTCTGAAAGGTACAGTTATTTTCAGCACACGCATTTCTCATGTTCTACCCGTAAAGAACTCCAGCAGGGCTCCCAACACCGGCAGTCAAGTGTTCGCGCTGCAGCGAGATGTTGGTCAGCCTTTGGGAAGGGCGACCGGCCCCCGGCTCCGCAGAGCTCGCGCAGGCGCTCCCCAGGCGAGCCCAGTCCGTACTCAGCCCCGTCCCGCGGTTCCTCCGGCTGACAACGCGCCGGCTTCCCTCAGCACGGAAGGCAGGATCGGACCATCGGCTGCTGAGAACCAAAGCACCTCTGCACGCGTTTGCACGCCGACATGTTTGCGGAACGCGCCACTACGTGCACGTGCAAAGCAGGCGCCTGCTTGCACCAGCTCCTAGAGAGAGCTGCTTATCTGCCAGTGGCTGAGGTGTCAGTTCACCTGGAGGCCAATTTGCCTTTAGCGGGGTCCAGATTTTTCATGAACAACCATCGTAATCTGAAAGCATAATCATGCACACATCAGTAAGCCTACCTTTTGTAAAACACTGGCACTCAAAGAAGACTGAATCATAAATTCTACTGAACTAGCAAATAATTATCAACACTAGAAGTAGATGAAGAAATAATAAAACTGTAAAGGTGAGATAACTGCATCATGACTTTGATTTAAATACTTGTTTACAACAGCAAGTGAGCAAAAGGCTAGGTATGTGGACTGAGCCTCAGAAGAGAAGACACTGCTTTCTCTTATTTTTATTTCCTATTTTTAAAGAGAGGCTGATTGAGAACATTTTTGAATGTGGGAGACTAAGTCGTTAAAACAGAAGCACTTGGATTGCTTTCTTCCTTTAGGGGATTTACTTCATTTTATTTTATCTGACACAAGTCAGAAAGAAATGAGAACATTGTAAGGAGAAGGAAAGCTGAATTTTGACACGTTATTTTCCATTAAAATTCTTCCGCTGACTTTGTTAAGCTTTTTCTAAGATCGGAAAATGAGGCTTTACCTAAAACGAATTTGAGAGACTGGTAGATTTTCCTCACACACTTGTAGCACTACAGTGTCCTACTGTCTCAAAGCAGAGGATTTCTTCAAACTGTTCCCAAATCTTTTGCATTCGTTCACAAACTCGTATCTCCGTTCTGTTTATACTCAGATAAAATATTGAGAGTCATTTCCTCGCTTTTGGACTGCACGTTGTGTTCACTTCTTCTGGACGATTTCCTGGTTGCCCTGGAAAGCCGCCTTCGAAAGGTATCACCTGCCAGAAAGTAAAGGATAGGGTCGACGCAGCTGTTGAGGCTGGCCAGACCCCTCGTCACTTGGTAAGTGGCATAAACCTTATCGTTGAAGGCACACATTTGTGGAGTCTGAAAATCCACCCTGGCTCTTAAATTTAAGGTCTTCATCACATGGAAGGGAAGATAAGACACAGCAAAGACCGTCAACACAATAATAACCAGGTAAATAGACTTTCTCCTGAGAGGAGAATTGTCCAAATCTTTGTAAATCAAAGCTTTCACAATTAGCCCATAGCAACCAAGAATCAGTATGAATGGGATGCAGAACATAAACACGGTGGTGCACATGCTGTAAACGAAGTAACTTCTCAGGTAATCATCAGCTGTCGTGTCGTAGCACGTCGTGGTTTTATTCCTCCTTATCCCCGTTCCCGAGTAGAAGAGTATCGGAGAAATCACGGCCACCACAATGACCCAGACCAAGGTGCTGATGTACACCGCGTTCTTCTTCTTCAGCCTGCCCAACGACTTCAAGGGGTGCACCACTCCCGTGTACCTGTGCACGCTTATGCAAGTTAGAAACAAAATACTGCCGTACAGGTTCACGTGGAAGATGAACCTCTGCAGCTTGCACATGATATCTCCGAAGATCCAGTCTGTTTTATTGAAGTAGTAAAAGATGAGGGCCGGCAGAGTCAAGACATACAAGAAATCGGCTAGCGCCAAGTTGAACATGTAAACCGAGATGCCGCTCCAAGGCCTCATGTGGAAGACAAACATCCAGATGGCCACGCTGTTTCCCAAAAACCCAGTGATGAAGACCAGAATGTAGACGGTGGGCAGGTAATAGAACTGGAAGCCAGTTTTGGTCAGGGAACACTTGGTGGTGGCGTTTCCCGCAGACCAGCTGCTGCTGGATAACAGGTTGGGTTCAGTTCCATTCAAAGCAGCAGAGAAGAGGACTTCGGTCATGATCCTTTCATCAGAGTCACGTAGGTCTGAGGCGAAGCAACAAAGTCTCTACAGGAACAGCAACGCATCTAAACAAAAGAAAAGAGCAAAGAAAACCTAACTGGAAGGTAAAACCTGCCCTGCTTTTCTTCGGAGGGCTTCCAAGCGGGTGTGCTCGGCTGAGCGTCTCCCACCCGCGCAGGTCGGACCGTCCCCCCGCAGCA